GTATTCCCAATTCACCATTAGCCTGTTTCTTCCTTTAGCCTCAAGGCATTCTCCGCTTTTTGAAAAGATGTTAAGAAATTCAGTCACAATAGAGAGCCTAGTTTTGAACATGTTTCACTCGGTCCATTGAGGTCTGGTCTTCAGCCTTTGTGTAGGGTGAATTGAGCTGAGCAGCTAGCTGGTTGGGGAGAGGTGAATGAGCAGTCTCTGTGCAGTCACAAATTCTGGCAAAGAAAAGATTACCCTTTCCTTTATTTTACAATATGCATTCCTGTACAATCCTGCTAGTGGCAATATGCGGAGCAGAGCTTGTGCTTAAGTCAATACGGAACACTTGGTTTATAGCAACTCTTGTTAAGTTTGTCTTGTAATTGAAGCTGCTGTTGACCTTGCTTGGAGACCATTTGTAAAACCGTTTATTTAGCATAAACTGAAATAATAAACCCTCCTTCTCTTAGGCCGATTGTGATAGGGTGACATTAGTTTGATTTAATGATTAGCCGCCTGACCCCCTCAGCTAGAGAGAGCTGCTTGAATAGAGAGAGTTCACTAGGAAGCACACAGGAAGAATACTAATGAGCTTGTTAAATTTAGCATGGCACCAACCACTTTTAATTCCTCTAATGGGAGAAGCACTGCCTCTGAGAGGGAGGGAGGGAGATAGAAAGAGGGAGGGAGAGAGAGAGGAATGTCCACATACCCGTAGCTCGAGAATTTCGGTCAAGAGAAGAGCTTGGAGAGAGTAAGCCAGGGTCTTTTGGACTGAGTTGTAAGTATGTTGTCTGTTCTCTTACCCAGATGACGTCCTTCTTAATCAGTTGAAAGACAATAATGCTAGTTGCAAGTTGCATATAGAAATATGATTATGAAGGCTAACCTATGCAGCCTTTGCTACAATGATGACTTGTTGTTTAAATGTGGGTATCTCAGAATTTTGTTGAGGGGAGCTTCAGCATCTTAAGCAATGGTTTGAAACTGATTTTATCACTGACTTTAAAACGCTTGAACTAAAAAAGTTTCCACTTGTGTCTGCAGAATGTTAATGAAAACAAACAAACAAAAGTTTAATAGAGACAAGAAGTTCAGTGGACTGACATGTTCATGTTTGTTTCCCTTATTTTTTTTTTTCATTTTTGTTAGGCACACAAAATAAGTAATTAAAAATGTATTTGCTTAGGCATGTAGATCGATTACAAGCTTTTTTGAAAAGATTTGTTAATGAAACAAAGTATTCTTTGATGCTATATTTAAAAAAATGATTATGGCTAAATACCAAGAACAAATATATTTCCCATTAGATGGGAGAATCTTGGATTAATTTGATAGCTCCAGACTGGGTACTTGTTACACGTGTTTGTGGCTGCCAGCTAGTTATCATTCAGTGGGGACACATGTGGAGAAGGAGAAGCTAATACAAATTTATCATTTGGGACTGATTCTTTTTTCTGTAACACCTCAGTAAGTCAAGAGAAACTGTGCTAAAAAGTGGGGGTACAAAACAGGTGTGAGAGGAGAATCGGGCCCTTTGACTTCAAATCATTCATCTCTCTGAAACTTTTTAGTAAATCGGATGTTTCTTTTGGACCTAAAGCAGGCCGTTTTTTAAACATAGGATAGCAGTAACCGTTGTCTTGTGTTTGGCTGTAAGAATCTATTGGCAGATGCTACTAGAGAAGTGAGTTGTTTGCTTACATTTTTGCTATAGATTCCCACTTGTTGCCATGGTGGACGGTATGTTTCTGTCAATAATTTGGCCTGGCGCAGCTTGTCTGCACTTACTCTTAAACTTTATTGAACAATTCAGCTGAAACAGAATGAGATTAGACAGCTTTCGCCTTTTGGCTCGCTGAAGTGGTTTTACTGCAGTTATAAGAGCAGGCAGAATTATTGCAAGAAAAGTTTCCCTTCAGTGTATAGAGAATTCTTTCAAATCACTTGGCTATTTGTATTCTGGAGTGCGTGTACTGTCAAGTTTTTCATCTGCTCCCATATCAAAAGCACCTCTGTGGTGCAGAGCATGAAGTAAACTCTTAACAAAATGTTTATCCATTGGATTTCCTTATTATTGCAAAAATGCCATGGTGTTTACTTAAAAAATATTTCTGGGTGACTATTTAGAGGGGAAGCAGTGTTCAAAAATGATTGACTGGCTAAACAGTAAGCATTATTTTTATGATGAGGAAAAATAATTTGTTGGTGTTGGAAAATATTTTTTCTCTTTTTTCTCCTTTTTCAGAGCTATTTATTAAAATGAAACACATTTTGCTTTAATTTTCAGAGTTACTAAAAGTAGGTTTGAATTCAGTCAGCAATTTTAAAAAAATCATCTCATTTCATACTAGTAATTGGTGCCTTGATTCTTGACACATGCAGGTCTTAAGAGGGACAGAATAAAACTGAATTATTCAAACAGACATGGACTTCTTGTTCTATTCTGGGATGGCAATTTAACAAATGTTAACTTTACACGAAGAGCAAAAGAAATGAAATCCTTATCTGATTTTCAAATTGATTATGTTGCTACACAAATCACTTCATCATAGTATAGTAGCATAGGTTAGCCCTGCTCTAGTTAAGGGTCTGTCAGCATTTCAAATAGAATGTAATCCCCTATTTTTAAGAGTTTGCATCTCATCTGCAAAAGTTCACTCTAAGGTGAAATTTAATATAAAAGGCTTGAGCCAGAGAGAAAATTGGTGGAAAAATTACTTGGACTTTTTAAAAAAGTTTTATACAAGCAGTTTTATAAAACCTAATATAAGTTGTAAACTAAAAACAGCTTCAGTGTAAAAATATGAAAACTTTAAACTCCATTAATCCAGAGGACAGAGTAGTGCTTATGCATATTAACACAAAGGAAAAAAAACAGGCAAAGATTGTTAGCTTTACAATATTTTTGTCCCTGTTTATATTAACTACTTCACCATGGGCCCAATCCCGCAAGTCCTCAGCGCACAGATGGGAGACCATGGAGGATCTGGGCCCAATGACTAGCTCCTCTTCGGAAGCTGGTTGATACGATAATTGCAAATGTAAAAATAATCCATACATTTACACAAACTACATTGATGTTTTTCTTTGCTACTTTTGGGGAAAAATGCGCCCAAAACGCTACATTTAAAATAAAGTTGTAGACTGATAAAAGCGTTTAGATAGTGGCCAGATCTCAGCCTGATGCAATTAGATATTGCTGTATGCACAGGCCCCCTTTCTGAACTCACTTATAGCAGTGAAAATCAGGGGTAACTTGACTGAAGTCAGTGGAGTCACACTGATGCAGAATTTGTGGAAGATTAGAATTGGGTTTATGCCCTTTCTTATCCCTGTACTGAGTAGGCACAAGAGGGGGAGTTAAAGATGAAGTTTTAGCCAGAACTTTGAATGTTCTGGACTTTGACAGTTAAAGCTGGATTCTTCTTATCATTCTGAACCGTTCTTTTTTTGGTGCATCAATTATAAAATAGTGCTGCATAAGTTTTTTTTCCTTCCTAAATTTGTTTTCGGTTAGTGTTCTTGTTATCTGTTTTTGCACCAGAATTTCTGATGAGCTCCTGAACAGTTTTCTGCAGTTGTTTGTGAACATATTTCTTAATATTTATGTAGGGCAATATTTATCATATTTATAAAGTGGGCCTTCTGGAAACAGGAATCTGGAGACCAAATGTTCTGACTTTGTAGATATAGGTCAGGACTCCAGCCAGTGATGATAGAATTGTTAACCAGCTCTCTTCCCGCCCTTATATAAGCAATGATATACTGTCAGAAGGGTACTTACGCTAGATGTGTGTGTAGATGATGGAACTTTGAAGTCTTATGTATCACGTGAAAGGTACCTGAAAGCATGTGGCTAACGGTTGAACACCTGCACTGCTTGCGTCTCTTTAAATGTGTGTGTGTGTGTATATGTAATACATATAGGGTGGGGCTTTGTTTGGGAGCCATTGGTGGAGTAGCCAGGGATGGGTCCTTTGCACCCCCTTACATTAAGTTAAAGTCTGTCAGAGGGTGGCTTGGAGACAGACTGGCCAAAGGGCCACGGAATGAGTGATGTCATGGATCCCGTGGGCATAACAACACACCCAGGTAGTGCAGAGTAGGCTGAAACACCCATTTCAACCCATCCCCTGGAGAAGCGAGCGCAAGGCATGTGCTTCAGGCCTAGTCACTGGCCCCAAGTTGGGGATTGGCATTCACCTTCCTAATTCCTTTGCATGTCAGCCACAGAAAATCAAGTTATTTGGGTTCCATGCAGGGCAGCTGAATTTCACCCATATTGGTCACATACAGACATGTGTAAACTGTAATTTTTATGTATTTGTGAGTGAAAGATGTTCAACTCAATGCTGTAAAGTATTAACCTCAAAGTCTGTACATCTCGACACATGTGGGTAACACTATTATAGCAGGTGACTTCACTGCTCCTATCTTGTGCTTGCTTAGTAACTGGAACAGGATAAATGCATTATACTGTCATCTACCTTAATTTTAATGAATAGGGCCTTTTCTATTACTCCAGGCTCTTGTCTTTTAACATTGCATCTTTTTGTGGGTGGAGCGGCACAGTGGCAAATACAAAGCTGCAGTGGGTGGCTAGACTTGATTTAGTCTCAGCTAGCAGGGTTCATCTTCTACTGTTTGTGACAAATTGTTTTTTTCCTCCCAGTCAAGCGGCCAAAAATTCCAGCCTCCTTGTCCCAGAGGCAAGAAAACAGCAAGTTTGTGTCCTTTCGTGTAGGATTAATAGCCCCACTGGTAAATGCATCAGTGAATGGGTGATGATGATCTACTGCTCAACTGCCACTTGGTCTGAGTGGGCTAGTTTTTTCAGCTTGTATCCCAGAACATCTTTCATAACCACACATGCATGTACTGTCACAAACTTACATTGCTGCTTGGAAAGTGGTGAAAAGTGGGGGAAAAGTACTTTTATTTTATTTGCTATAAGTGGTCTAAAAGTGTCTCTCTCTCTCTTTCTCTCTCGTTGTCATTTTTTTCCCCAGAGGATGAAAGTCCTGGACAGACCTATCACAGAGAGAGAAGAAACGCAATCACAATGCAGCCACAAGGTGGGCAAGGCCTCAGTAAAATCAGTGAAGAGCCTTCAACATCTAGTGAGGAAAGGGCCTCATTAATAAAGAAGGAGATCCATGGATCTATATCGCACCTTTCTGAGCCTTCTGTACCTTATCGTGGGACGGTTTTTGCAATGGACCCCAGGAACGGTTACATGGATCCTCATTATCGTGAGTATTTAATGCAAGTTCATTTCAGAAAGCAAGATTGGAAGGATACTGAAGCTGTCATATTTAATTGCATTTTGCATTGGCACTTTTCATCTCTCTCAGGATGAGTCATTTTGCCTGTATATGTCTAAGATAATATAAGAATAGTTACTCTTTTCGTTTATGTAGGAAAATGTTGTGAATAGTTGCATTGTATCCCTAAATTAGCATAGGCCTCTGCAAAAGAGACTTCAGAAGGGCATGTATCATCTGTTGCTAATCTTCATGAACCATCAAACGTTATATTTGCTCCACCTACTTAGCAATACATGAAAAAAAAAGCCTAATTTTAAAAGAGCAGAGAGGAAAAGCAAATAGACTTTAAAACAATTATTTAAAAGCTATTTTAACTACAATTTAAAGAAAGGAGGGAACACATCTTTTGGAAAGAGATTTTTTTGTTTTGTTTTGTCATTTTCTGCCCAGCTACAGTCCCTCCTGCGTTAGTGAAAAAAGTGAATGGTTTCAACTTCTGAAGTTCTGCTCAGGCATTAATAAAAAGTACGAAAGTAACTGACACTTGAACACAGATGTGGAATGGATTTCTCCACAAGCAAAATATGAGGGAGTTAAGCAATTTTTTTCATCTGCTTCTAGTTTTAAAAAAAAGCATTTAGTTGTGTAATAATGAACATCTTGAGGTGTCAAGGCTAGTGCCTTTTGATTATAGATTTATCACCTTGTCAGGATACAGATTTGCCATTTAACCTTCCAGTCTCCAGTTCCAGATGATAGGCTAAAGACCCACAAAGAGGGGCCAGTCTGTGGGGTTTTTTTCCACATAATTCAGAAATTTTAGTGTTTTAAGGCAAAAGGTCATTAGCCAGACCACTGATTAGTGAGGACAGCTGATTAGTGCATGTTTTCTTGCTAAAGAAAGTGCCAGGGATAAAAGCTAATTCTATCCCTTCATTAGTTGGGCTAGCAGCAAAGGGGAATGTTCACTCATCAGGGTGCAGATCAAAGTGTGTCTCTCACAACCTTAAGTCTCACCAACTGCCTTTATTTTAACAGAGTTTGATTGTTAATAAAGATGGAGGCTAGATAAGAAAATGAACACTTATCTTTATAGTTGTTAAGTGAAAAGTTGATGGTGGGGGTTTTCAGCTCTCCTTTAACATGACATTTCAGTTGCTACATTGTCCGCCCCCCCCCCCCCAATATTGTTCAAACCCTTTAAGGAAGTTAGTCACTCATCATTTGAGTGCGCAGAGTATACAGCGTACTGCTGACAGACTTGCCTGCAGGAGAACACAGAACATGCAGAAAGAACTACTACTGTCAAGCAGTAGCCTATAGAAATATTAGTTTGCATGTCGTTGGTGATTTGACTCACACATTATAGCTTCTAACACATGTAAATGCAAAATATATGAATGGAGATACTTCTGGGAATATATGGCAATTGTGTGAGTGCACTGTACTTCTGCAGAGCTGAGATGCAGAGAGTTCTGAGATGACTTCAGTGATGACAAATGCTACTTTGACCCCTGACTGGCTGCTGTGTCCCTTCCTAAACCAGTCACAGGTGCTAGTGATACTGTGTGGTGCATACTGGGTTCTCAGCCTACGGCTGAATTGTTGTGAATTGTTGTTGGTTTTTGTTTTTTTCTTGTTACCTTTCCAGTCACCATTGTTTAATGTATCTAATGTGCCCACTCCTTGACCATTAGCACCTGGCTACCATTGTTGTGATGTGGCCTGCCCAGAAGCATTGTTTTGGGAGCAAGGTTCTTAGTAAGTTAATAGAAAACAAAAGATTGCATATAACTAGCATGCACAAAGGAGAGGTTGGGGGATAGTTAGTCCTGCAAAACCGCCTAAAGTATGAAAACATCAGCTGGACAGACCTACTTCACTGCTGCTAAAGGGAATTTCTTTGCAGTTTTTTCTTTTTGGTTTGTAAAATCCCTGAAGCAATTAATACCATATAAAATCCCATCACATTTCTGCTTACCTGTAATAGATTTGATACAGGAGGACAACTAAATGAATGAGCATCTGGCTAAATTTATAGCAAAGAAGACAGACAGACTTAATTTTTCATATTAGTTGCATCATTTATATATAAAAGACGTGCTTTTATCAAATCAGTGATTGTATTCAGCTTGACATTTTTAGTAGTCCTTATGAAGAACACTGAATAATGTAATCACATCCCAGTCCCACTGTAGCAACAGGTGAAGAAACAACCAGAAATGCCGTCCACTTTCTTCCGCAGTTTCTTGCCAGCTTTGCTGGGCAGATGAGGAGAATATTGCTTTAATCCAATGTAGCTGGGTATGTAAACATTCCCAGTAATTCCTTAGTTTTCCTGTGGTTGGAAAATACAGACTTTTCAAGATGGCTAATTTGTGCTTCTATATATACCCACTTTGCATTTAAAAGTGTGGGTAGGCTTCCTGTAACACAGGAAAAGGGAAAATAATTTTTTTGAAAGAGGACATCTGTATATTTTTATTGCAGCAAAAAAGAGCTTTTAAGTCAATTGTGTGTGGAATGCATGTCCGCTGCAGGTGCTGCAGTTATTAGAAAGGGCTCAAATACTTTACATTTCCACATGTAAATGTGCGTGTCTTCTATATATGTGGGTTTGAGGGTGTTTTGTTTTTTGTTTTTTTATTTTTTTATGTTTTAATTAAAAAGAGTGATGGTAACTATTACTTCCAATATTTACAACATATGTGTGGAATAAATCCATCACTGAGGGGGTGATTGCTCTCTTACAGAGAGTAACGAGGAGATGAAGGTATGTTTTGAGTGGACTAGATTTTCAAAGAGCAGTGCTTAAACATATTCTGGGGCTGACAGTCCTTTTAATGTACCTCTTTAGAGAACCTCAACCATTTAACATTTGAGAATGAGGGAGTGGCCTCCTGTTTGGGCCAGCGCCATTTGTCTTAGATGTGATAAGAGAGGGAAAAGATATCCAAGGCAGCACTCGACGATTTTTGTTTTTCATTTTTATCTTTACAGTGGAAGATTTCTTGGAACCACAGTTCTCACATCCATTTAATCTATTGCATAAACCTGCTTTTTCTTTTAAAAAGATTTTAGGGCAGGTGACAAAATTGTCATAGTTTCCTCTCATACGCTATACCTTTTCTGTTCTTACGATGGCCAGGTCTGCCCTACCAACTGACACTGGTATAACTACATTGTTCAGGGGTGAAGAATCCACACCTGAGCGATGCAGTTCTGCCGACCTAACCCATGGTGTAGACCACGTGATGTCACTGGGAGATCTTCTCCCGTTGGCATGGTGGCATGTTCACTAAAGCATTTCAGCGGTGCAGCTGCACCACTGCAGCTTTTCAAGTGTAAACCTGCCCTAAGGAAATCTTTTTTTGGCGTGGTTACAGATCTCCTTGCATTTCTGAAGTTTCATACAACATTGGTTATTTTGAGTCTTGTTAGTGTAAATTCTGTCTGTAGAGGTGGGGTTGGGGTAGGTAATTCCTTTTGTTGTTCTCTCCCCAGTTTTAATTCCCATGCAATTTTATGGCTGTGCTAAGGCCGCCTGTCGTTCCTCATGGAAAAAATGAATCATTCCTATTATAAACACTTTGATTTAAAACATACTGCTGGTATTCTTCCTGGGTATCACAGCTCATCTGAAGGAACTGTTAGTTCCTAATTGGTAAAGCTCAAAGAATTAGCTTATGTAAAAGGCAGGGACACTTCAGTTGGCTTAGATTTAAAGGTCTCTGTGAAAGATGTTCACGAACAGCATAGACAGAATTCTGCTGTCTGTTACAACTCTGCAGCCCCAGTGAAGTGAGTGAGGTTCCAGGAGTACTTGCCCCACTTTTTCTGTAGGAATGTGTTTCTGCTGGTGTTTGAAACTTACATTATTTTCTTGGGGGTGGGGGAATTTTACATTTTAAAGGGTTTACCTTGCAAGATACTGAGTGTCCTCAGTTCCTATTCACTGTGTTGGGTGGGGAGATCAGGCCCTTAATAACTGCACTGGATCATATCTTGTAGTGTCAAGTGACATCTCAGAATCAATTTGCAAAGTGACCAAGAGGCAAAGAGGAGCAGTTCAGGCTTGACCAAAGTAACAACACAATGGCAGCTCATTGGATGCACCTGTTCATATACTGGAAAAAAAATTTCAGCACGCATTTGCCAATTTTTTTATCCTATTTAGCAAATATGAATTTTTATTTAGAAACTCCAGTTTGGGGGCATTAATAAAAAAAACATCTGATGAAGTGAGCTGTGGCTCACAAAAGCTCATGCTCAAATAAATTGGTTAGTCTCTAAGGTGCCACAAGTACTCCTTTTCTTTTTGCGAATACAGACTAACACGGCTGTTCCTCTGAAACTTTTCTTTCTTTGTTACCTACTCGAGACAGGCAGCTTTCTTTCTGTTATGATACTGACCTATAACTGAGATGATGATAGGAGCCTAGGTCATTGCTGACTGATCAGTGTGTGGAGGAACCCCCCCACCAAGAACAGAACTCTCTCACTTTCACATGGAATGGAGTTAGCTGCATCTTTTGCAGTGTTCCTGTCATCCTCCTCCAGATTCTGTGGGGGCACTCTCTGGGTTTGTTGTCTGTGCAGAGATAAATGGCAGAAACTAAGTGGGTCCAGAGGAGACCTATATTATCTTTTCTGTTGAGTTCCCCCAGGGGTTCCCAGTGTTTGCAGCAGATACAGAGAATTCCTGTTGCCACAACTCTGGCCTCTGGTGGATTCCCAAGATTGGAGGGTGGCAGGTGGTGTGGCCAGTCTTTGTGGGGCCAAACTTCACCTCTCTCATTGGACATTAGGAGGGGTGTATCTGTGAGGGATCCTTGCAGAGATTTACTCCCTAAGGCCCTCCTGCAGCATTTTCCATGGGAGGGATTGATCCAAGTCAATAATACTGTGCATTTACAACAGTTTCTGGAGTGGTTTCAAATTGACATCATGGAGGGGTTGTTTAAAAAAGTTAAATCCAAGCTTTT